CTAAAAACCTGTCAGATAGCAGGTTTAGGATTGTTAAGGGTCGATTATCGGGTCACGACTGTAATTTTAGGTTTTTAAAGTCTGTTGGTTTATAACATTTAAATCATAGCTGTTGGAACATTAGACTCCTCAGCTGCTGATAAATCATCTGTCAGTCAGATGTGAGCAGATTAAACTCCAGCTGCTGACCGAACTGCCACCTGATGCATCCTTCATGAGAAAGAAGGATTCGTCATCTGAAGGCGTCTCCGTCTCTTAATGAAACTGGACGGCCTTCACGGTTCATCGCTGCGACGCATTCGACCTTCAGATGCAGCCTCTGAATTGGTTTCTAGTGTGTTCGCTGTTTCTGTCCGGATGTTAAACTACAATCGTTCCACCACACAGTCACAAACAGCCGCCGGTCACTAAGCAGCGACATCACAGCTGCAGCTACGAACCTGAAGCTGAAACAGGTTCATACAGACGCCACAACGAATGGTCTCAGTGTTGATGATGTCATAACCTCAGGTGTGTGTCCGTCAGGTGCCCATGATCAGTGGGCGGGGCTTGGCTCACACCGGAGGAACTCTGGACAAACTGGAGTCGATTCCAGGATTCAACATCCACCAATCAGCGGCGCAGGTAGACTCCACAATTACAAATACAAGCTATGCTATGCTATGCTATGCTATGCTATGCTATGCTAGCAGCGTGGCTCTGGGGGATGCTTTTCATGTTGCGCCACCTTGCTGGAACTGATTTAGTGAGAAAACTTTGGTTTAACTCTGAAAAATATCAGGTGTGAATCCATCCAACTGTTTTAAAAACTCAAAAAAAAAGAAGTAAAAAGACGAAAAGAAATCCCGTTTTTCTGATTGACTGAAGTTTGTTTTAGAATAAAAAGCAAACAAAGTGCAGAAATAATGACGTCCATGAAGCAAAAACAAGTCTGAGGAGCAACGAGGAAGCTGAACCTCATGATCGAAGCTCTTTTAATGACGTTTCCTTCTTCCGGTTTAATCACAGAAACTGGAGAATTAGCGCCACCTGCTGGTTCCAAACCAACTCCTCATATTCACACAGTGCATGTTAATGGGCATTAATTCACATTTACTTTTGCCAATTTTGTTAAAAGTTCACAAAATGAAGCAGCACATCTGGATGCAGATCCGGCTAGTGACGAAACTAAGAATAAAAAAACTGAAATGATTAAATACGTGCGTTTTAGTCGGAAGAAGGACAGAAAGTCTTGAATGTGTTAAGAAACAATTTGGAGAAAAGAAGTTGCTTCAGCTGTAAAATGTCCTCATTGGACTTTGTCTCATCTACAGACTGAACGGTTTCACTTTGATTGAATTAAAAACTCGTATAAAAACTTCCTCAACACGTCGGGACTTTTTTAAATCCTCAGTTTTGGTTCCTTACTTCAAGAAATATAAACTTTTTTTATACTTTTCCAGAACTGAACAACCTGAAAATGTAAAACCGTCAGAGGAAGTTGAATAAAAACTATAAAATGATTTAAATCGACAACCTGATCGAAGACTTGAGACTTTCTTTCGTACAGTTATTGATTAATTTTAGTTAATTGTGATAAATAAACGTTCTGCTGCAGATCCGGGACATCCTGGGCTCGGTCGGCTTCTGTATCGTGGGTCAGACGGAGACGTTGGTTCCTGCAGATCGGGTTCTTTACGCGCTGCGGGACGTCACCAGCACCGTGGACAGTTTACCGCTCATCACCGGTACCGACCCGCGCCCAACAACAGAACCCGCTGCAGCCACACGGCAGCCTAACGCGGATCTAAATGTGTTTTTGTTCAGGTTCTATCATCTCAAAGAAAGGGGCCGAGTCGCTGTCCGCTCTGGTTCTGGATGTGAAGTTTGGCCGAGCTGCTCTGTACAAAGACCTGGAGGGCGCTAAAGAGTTAGCGCAGCAGCTAGTAAGTCCAACAAGAAACCATCAGGTTTAAGTGTGGAGTCGCCCAGCTGCTGGTTTACAGCCGACAGGGAATAAAAACACAAAGACTGTAAATCTGGCAGCGAAAAATCACATTAAGAACAAAAACTGTAAAAAATTGCAAAAATAACAGCAAATATCTGTAAAATAATTGGATTATTTAGCAGATTTAACCGCGCAGTGCTTTAAACGCTCCCTTTAAACATCTCTTTGGGTGATATGAGTTCTGAAAGCGTCTCCGGTTTGTGGTTCATTTTAGGTGACAACAGGAAACGGACTCGGTATCCGAACGGGCGCCGTCCTCAGCAGGATGGACGCCGTGATCGGTCGATGTGTCGGGAACAGTCTGGAGGTGATCGAGTCTCTGGAGGCGCTAAAGGGCAACGGGCCGGACGACCTGATGGAGCTGGTCACTACTCAGGGTAAAAACTCTAAACCAGACCCTGAAGTCGGGCTTTAAACCTGAAGTCGGGCTTTAAACGAGTCATTTATGGATCTCTTGACGTCTCAGAAGAGCTGGAGCTAGTTTTCTTAACTTGTACAGATGCTAAAATACTAAAATTAACCTGTTTCTGTGTGGAAACTATAAACACAGCCAAAAAAAAAAGTTTCAGTCAAAAGCAACTTAACTAAAAATGCTGAAGTTTCTTTCATCTTCAAGGGCCAATAATGACAAATATGTCCTCTGCTCTAAACTATTTAAATCTGATAGAAACTCTTCTGTCTGTGTCCTCACCAAACATCACGTCCATGGAAGTTGTATTTCTGGAGACACTGAACCCTTAAAAGGGCTTCGCAGGCGTTTTTGTAAGATCAAAATACAAAAATTCACAAGTCTGGAAACAAGAAATTGTCAAAATTCTGCCAAAATCATTCACAGAACTTAGCTTTGGGTCCTACAGAATAAATCAATAAACTCTGAACACAACACAACAACCTGTGATGACAGCCTGACCTGTAGTTTAATAAAAATTAATCACTTTCTCATCAATCAGAGCTGAAAATGAAAGTTAATATAAAACTAAACTGTGGTTGGAAGCTTTTAAACGTCCTGCAGGAAAAACTGATGGAAATCAACAACAAGCATCACAGACAGGCTGAAATTGAGTTTTTTCATACGATCCAGATAAACTCGGTGACAACAGCAGAAACGACAAAACCTCCCAAACGTAAAACAGAAACATCGCACGCGGTGATCTTTAACCTCCCCCGAGTCCACACCAACACAAAACCAAAGAACGCCGACAACCTGAAGCAACAAACGAGCCTCATTCCTGAGAGTTTTCAGATCAGGTTCAACAACATCCGTGTCTCTGACTCTTTGTTATCGGGATCGTATTTACTTTGTGCTTCTGCTGATGTCGTTCAGGCGGAAATCTAAAGAAATGAGCCGACAGATGTTAAAATACAACACGAACCGCTAGAAGAGAACATAAGGAAGGCCGTCACCGCCTCCTGCTCCTGTATTTATATGTTTAAACCGTATAAACGTGAAGCCAGAGCGTTGTGGATGTGATCTGTAACACTCACCCGTCGCTGAACTCCACAAAAGTCCAACAGGAGCTGCAGAAACTCCTCCTGGAATAAACAGTTCACAGTTTAATCTGCTTTTTATTATTATCAGTAAATGCAAAGACAACACAAAGACTGCAGCTGATTCATGACGATATAATCGACTTCCTGAATATACAATAACAATAAAAAAGTAAGAGGAAAAATAATCATGCATGAAAGGGTTAATAAAGATGCTACCACATAACTTTGATTTATTGCCAAAACTTGGTGTTTTCATTTCATTATTTCAAATTGATAAATTAAGAAATATCGCCAAAAGGAAAAGAAATATGGAAAATAAAACTGAAGCTGTTGTGAAAAGTTCCATCTTTGAGCACGTTAACAAAACTAAACATGCAGAATACTTAATAAAATAAAAAATAAAAAAATAAAATACTCTGGCAAAAAAAATCAATGATTCAGCAGAAATTGTTCTAATAATTGATGAATATTTGCTCTTTAATTTTGCCAGAACTAACCTTAAATTTACACTTTTTAATGTCAGATTTTGGGCATTTTAAAACCATTTTTCCAATTTGACAAAACAAGTAATTGTCCTTAATGTGATAAGACCTGCAGGTCTAATTGTCAGCTAACTAGCTGAAGCAGCTATAATTAGCTAGCGGCTAATTAAAGCGGCTACAATTAGCTAGCGGCTAATTAAGGCGGCTACAATTAGCTAGCGGCTAAAGGCTAGCGGTAAACTTTTATAAACTGTCAAAAAGAAACAGTGACGAAAAACAAACACGGAGACTTACCGGTTAGTGTCGGTGTGAAGAAGTGAAACCGGGTGATGTTGACGGTTTATTTCATCCACAACGAACACAACGGAGCTTGTTGTTTGGCTAACGTTAGCTCCGTTAGCTTCATTAGCTTCCTTCGCCTGTCCGCGGCGCCATCTTGGAACCTGCTCCGGTGAGGAGTTCAGGGACCCTCGGACAGAACTCGTTCCCTAAACCAATCCAAGTGTTTTCAATCTGCTGAAACAGATTTAAAATAAGAAAACAACCTAATTTCATTCAGATTCATCATATTTTACAGATTATAAGTCACAGGATAATTGCACAAGAAATAATTTCCTTATTTTAAAGTTAAAACATCCATAAATGATTATAATTTACTTTTCTCATGCTAGCAAGGATATTAAAGAAACTAAACACAAACGACCCAAACAACAGGAAAAAATACCTCATCTGGTTGTGACCTTAATGCAGCGTTAGCTTTACAGACGGACTACTGACTGTGATTTGTAAAATTAGAGCAGTAGCATAATGTTAGCGGTTTGTTTTTTTTGCTGTTTCTTCAAAAGTGACGTGTTTGTGTGATTTCAGTCGGACAGAAGCTGCAGTGAGGGATTCACTCGTAGATATGTGCGGTAGAAATCTGCCCGTTTGGCTGTTTTTAATTTAGTTTTTGCTCCGATTCAGTCATCAACAGTAATTTTAATGTTTGTTGCTTTTTTTCTGACTGAAATATTAAATGTAAATGTTTCTAATGCCACAAAAAGTAATGTGATAAATTTGTACGTCATCAAGCCGTCCAGTCTTATGAGTGTGTAAAACTTCATAAATATGACGTTATTCTAAAAAACCAACAAGAGCAAACTGTTGCTCCTGCAGGAGGCATGTTGCTGCTGATGACCGGTTTAGCGTCCGACCTATCAGAAGGCAAAAAGAAGATTTCCGACGCAGTGATTGGTGGAGTCGCTCTGTCCAAGTTCCAGGCCATGATGGCGGCTCAGGGCGTAGCCAATGAGACGGCTCGGTCGCTGTGCTCCGCCAAGACTGATTACTTCAAGGTCCTGAGAAAATCTAAGCATGAGATGGAACTGAAGGCTCCTGCAGACGGTAAAACATGAACACCGTCACATGCTGGTGACGCGTTCAAGGACACACTTATTTACAAACATCCCCACAATATTAGAATTAGCTGGTTTACTGTGTGTCTGTTTTGGTTGTGTCTTTGGCTTCAAGGCGTGAAGACAGTAAAGAGTTTTATGCATTTTATACTTCGTCATAATAAAAGATTTTTACGTCCTGCAGGTGTGGTCGCGGACGTCGACGGTCTGGTTTTAGCCGAGGTTCTTCATAAGTTGGGGGCGGGACGATCAAAGGCAGGAGAACCTGTCAATCACAGCGTGGGGGCGGAGCTACTGGTGTCCCTGGGTCAGAAGATCAAGAAAGGTGAGAGGTCGATGATGATGATGATGATGATGATGATGATGATGATGATGATGATGATGATGATGGTGGTGGTGGTGGTGGTGAGTTCAGGGATCCTGATAAACTCCTGTACTTTCAGGTGCTTCCTGGCTGCGGCTCCATTACGACGTTCTGGCTCCGACTTCAGACCAGATAAATCGACTGCAGAACGCTCTGACTGTTAACGACGACACACAAACACAACACAAACACGCTTTGGTGGCCGAGCTGCTGCTGCCTCATTAACACCGTTTAACTTGTTTATTTATTAGCACCAGATCAAATTTACTGCAGAAAAAGTTTTCACCCGCCAAGAAAGTTTTACCCTTTAATCACTTTTCAACATCAAAAGTTCTCCTGCAGACTGCATCAGGTTGTCCTCCAGGATTTCTCTACACTCTGCTGCATTCATTCACCCTCTTTAACCTTCACAAGCCTTCCAGGCTGCTGCTGAGAAGATCCCCACATCATGATGCTGCCACCACCGTGCTTCACATCATGACGCTGCCACCGCCGTGCTTCATCATGACGCTGCCACCACCGTGCTTCATCATGACAGTGAGGATGGTGCATTAGTGATGATGTTCAGTGTTTGGTGTCCGCCAAACGTGTCTAGTCTGATGGAAAACAAGCTTTTGGTCTCCTCAGACCAAAAAACCTTCTTCCAGGTGACTCCAGAGTCTCCACATGTCTTCTGGTGAGCTCTGGTCCAGATTTAATCAGAGATTTTTCCAACAGAGTCTTTCTCTTTGTCTCCATGAAGCTTTGATGGTGAAGAACAGACAGTTGCATGAACAGTCTCTAACATCTGAGCTGCTGAAGCTGGAAACTCCTTCAGAGGAGTCTTGGTGGCCTCCTTCACTCGTCTCCTTCTTGCTCGTTCATCAGTTTCGTAGAAATCTGTTGTGTAGATTCTTGTCTAAAAAAAATCTAATTAAACTGACAACTGAAGAGGAAAACTTCCAAAGAACTGAATATGTTTTTAGATTTAACAGCTGCATAGAAAACAGGAATGAACCCTAAAAACAGGTGCTGCTGCCTCATGAACATGAATCTGTGCTTCCTGCTGACACACAAAAAAAGATTTGATTAAAAGCTGATTATATATTATATACAAAATATTGGTGATGATTTTATATGTCAAATGATGTATTAAATTCTAAATGTATTTCAGTTATTACATGTCGTCCTTATTTTTATTATTCATGTATTAATGTATCAGCCGGATGTTTAACTGTTGATGTGAAGCTTTAACTGCAAATAATCAACGTCGTGCTCGCGGCTCCATCTGCTGATTATCTGACCAAATAAACAACTGATTGGTTGAAAATGAGTAAAAATTCTTGTTTTAACAGAAAATCTTCAGAATTTGTGAAGCTGCAACTATAAAATGTTTTTACATGAAAAATAACGTAAATGATCATTAAAGTCGCTGCCAGTTAATTATCTGCTGATGAGCTGATTATTGCTTTAATCAAAAACCATCTTCAGTAAAATAATTAAAGCTCAGATCGGCTTTTTAATTTAGGACTTAAACATGCGGAGATTCGTCCAAATGTTTTAAATCTGTCGGCTGAACAAACTAAATGAGACCAAATTAATGTCGCACATTTTTAAAAGATTTCTGTTGATAATCAAATTTAAACAAAACAAAAATAAACAGATTTCAGCTTCATGAAAAAAGCTGCACTTTGTTCTCTGGTCGACATTAAAGCATCTTTAGTTCAGGAAACAAACAGACGTCCGGTCAGAAGTCGACAAAACAAACTTTATTGAACAATCTGAGGTTGACAAAAACACTCGAAGCATAAAAAAGTTCAAACAACTCAAACAACTCACTTCTTTATTTATAAAAAATACAAACACAAACATGTCGCAGCTCCTGAAGACGACCTGCTGAGCTCCTCTGGACACGTCATTATTCCTTTAACATCCGTCAGTTCCACCAGTAAAACTCAGCAAACCTGCTTCTGGAAACCGCCTCCGGCCGAGTCATGATGTCGCTGTCGCCATGGAGACGGTGATGCTGCAGCAGGTCAAAGGTCGGAGGTCAAAGGTCAGTGGACGACGGAGTTGAGCGGCTCGGCTCGGATGTTTCCTAAATCCAGAGTGGAGTCGGTCTCCTCGTCGATCTCCCCGATCACCGCCCTGTCAACAACAACAACAAGACAACAGTGAACAAAAACAACAAAAAAATAAAAACAACACAAGACAAACAGTAAAAAAGAAACAAAAAGGAAAACAGTAAACGCTTCTTGTGGAAAATGTAAACAAGAACACGGGAAACACGCGGTAAACAAAAACAACCGAGCAGAAACAACAAAAACACAATAAACAAAAGCACACAAAGAACATCATAAACAAAACATTTGAGAAGATTTCCTTCCTGAAACGAAGCAGATTTGAATAAAAGTTCCCACTGAGCTAACGATCATCTTCATTATTGATTAATCTGCAAAGCATTTTCTCGACGAGTTGATTAAATCTTGATTTTACTAAATACTTCATTTAAAGTGACATAAACAACAACAGGCAGCAGTTTCTCTCATTTGACAGGCTAGACTTTCTTGGCATTTAAAGACAGACTAATACAAATAACTGATCGCCGAATTAGCCGCCGCTGATCAACTGATTGATTAACTGATTGATCGATGAAAGGTGACTCACACGTTGTCTCCTCGGACGATGTAGAGCCCCAGCACCACCTGCTCCACCCCCTGACTGGAGCTGAACACTCGCTCATGACTCTCGTCCAGGATCAGGTTGATGGTCTGATCGAAGCCCTTCAGGGTGCCCTGAACAAACAAACAAACAAACAAACAAACATGTATAAAGTGAAACAGGGTCCAAACTACACCAATAAGGTACATTTACATTTCCTGTCAGCAAAAATATGTTTGTACAAAGTGTTTATTGATGACTGGCTGTGAGAGCTCAGTAGTGGAGTTCCACAGGGTTCTATTGTGGGTCCTCTACGATTTTCATTATATTTACCTCAATAACATCAACCATGTTAATTTCTTTGCAGATGACAGTTTTAGGCTTCTGGCTTTGAGTTTGATTATTTTAATTTATCCATAAATAACCCTTGAGACCTAAAACCCAGAGCTAAAAGCTTTTTGTTCAACCATGAACTGTTGCTAAATTCTGAGGTATTCCCAATCTACACAGTTTTTAACTACCTTAAACCGTTCTTTAGCATTTCTCCGTGCAAAGAGAGTTTTAACGTGGTTATCGCTTTCAAGTAAATTATTTTTGTCGTCTATTAAAACACATCAACTCGTCCTGTGGAGGTGAAAACGGATTTGAACTCACCACAATCATCCTGCCGTCTGAGGTGACGATGGCCACAGTACCTGGACCAGGAGTTAAAGACACAACAGACCACACAACATGATTTAACCAACAACCAACATGAAGCTATGTTCTGACTCGCAGCTTCAGATTCAATCAGGAATAAGCCCTGGTTTTGTTTGTTTTTTTATTGTCGTCCTGTTTTGGACAACTTTGACCTCTTTGTAGTTAAATAAACAACAACAATAGGATCTCATTGTAGTTTATTTATAAATGTTTTGCAGCTTCATGTGGTTCAGAAAATATCATGAGTTGACTTCTGTATTATTCATTTCTTTGTTAATGAGCTCAAATCTTTTCATGACGGCTTCATTCATTTATTTTTTTCATATTTTAACTCACTCATAATCAGAGATTATTTGTCCGGTTTTACAGATTCAGAATCAACGACGTGATGAGAAACAACAGTGAAAATCCAGGTTTTTATCTTCAATAGTTCCTCAAACAGCCTCAAATGTCATCGTGAGAAAAAACCTGCAGAAATTCAGTCGACGGGCAGTTTGTAAAAGAATTGATCTCAGGGTGTATTTCATATATCAACCATAAATTCAGATGATTTCAGACTGAATGATCCAGATGTTGTTTGTATTTCATGTTGTGTTGTCAGAATAAATATGACTGGAACAAAATGACCGTTTTGCTTTTGTGGACAAAATAATAACTCAGAATATTCGACTAATCATTAAAATATTGGACAGATTAATTGACATTAACTGATGTGCTCACGGCTCCATAACTTCAGTGTTTTAGCTCCATGTCTGAGCAATAAACGGACTAAAAACAGAAAACTGTTGCTCGGTGTTGAGTTTCCGGTTCGCTGCGGCTCTGAGGTGAATTTTAACAAACTTTAGTTTCACTCCGGAGCTTTTGAACAGAAGCTGCGCTGCTTTGTGAATTCATAAAAACACCAAACTAGCATCAGTGTTAGCTCACACGCTAAGCTAACTAGCATGCGTTCACTCATTCGGACGGGGCGGTTAGCATGCTAGCAGGCTAGCGGCCGACCGGCGGCAGGATACGGTTGATGTAGCTCTCCAGGGCGGTGGACATGCTTCGTCCCGGGCTCGGTGCTCGTTAGTCCAACGGAAAGGTCGGTAATTAATCCCACCGGTTATCTGGCGCAGAGAGAAAGAGCGGCAGCCGCTAACAGACAGCAAAGACCGGGGAGCAGACCGGACTGATCGAACACCGAGTCATCGAGCAGGACGGAGAGCGGAGCGCCGAGCGGGAGCAGCTCATCCTCACGGGAAAGATGCACTGAGGTACAGAGTGGATCAGAACATCTAGAATTTAATAAAAAAAACTCTAATCCTCTCAGTCAAATCAGTACGACACGGTTAAAATGGGTCCAATAACCAAAGTTCTGAAGTTATTTAGTAGAATATTGATTAGATCAAAGTGGACTTCTGCGTTTCTGAGGTTTGGGACCAGATGTTCTGCCTCATATCTCTGACAGGGTTTTATACATTTCACATCTTTCCTTCAGTCTCTGCTCAGCAATGCTCCTTATTTCAGTCCAGTTTAGGCTAATTTTCTGGCCTTTATTTATGTCCTTCACGGTTGATTTGTTTTCTTCTCACCAGCAGCTCTTTTCCTCAACAACAACATCTTATTAACTTAAAATCTAAAACTCAGATATTGTGAAAATTCATGTCATTGGGTTTTGTGGTTGTTGTAAAATAAAAGACTTGCTACAGGTGCTTCTGCTAAGTTTGTGCGGCGTGTATAAAATTCACCAAATGTAAGAGTGAACAGGAGAGTCCTCATGCACCGACAGCATCTGAGGAACCCAGTGGATTATTATTGGCTTTAGTGTCCCCACAGCAATAGGAAAATCCTTAGTGTTAGCATGTTGTGCAGCTAATGTGGCTAACGTTAGCTCTGATGGTCAGAGCTCTGTGGAAGCTTTAATTTGAACCAGTAAACCAGGACTGGGTGGGTCACATGTTTCCATCTGGCAGCTTCTCTCCTGCTCTCTGTGCTCGTAAACTACATTAGAGTTCAGCTGAAGTCACGACAAAGCTGCTCTCATGTACAGATGTTTCTGTTTTATGGTGTCAGACAGCAGAACGAGGACGAAACAGCGACGGAAACCCATTCAGATGAGCTAAAACACTGATTTTATAACGGCGTCCGACAAACTCACCAAACACAGGAGTTGAAAACAACAGCATGTCCAGACATATTTATCCCCAGAAAACAAGATAGAATCCTTCAGGTGTTTTTCTCCACGCTGTCAACCACCAACGTAGAGAGTCTTCTTCCTGAAGGGGGCGGGGCCAGCAGCATGTGGGTGTTTACATCAGTCAGGTCATTGTTAGTGTTTCATATTGTAGCACTTTGCTCAATGACTGTTTTTTAAAATGTGAAATATAATGAACATTGACTTGACTGTTAAGGTAGTAAAGCTTTAACTGTTTTACTTATTAAAACTGATATATTGCGTTTTCTTCTTTGTTCAACTTGGCCTTCTCCTGCTCCTGCACTTTGTGAACACTTGTTTGAAAGTTGTTCTTGTCAGTATTATGATGAAACGTGTGTGTGTGTGTAAACCCAGCGTGTGTGTTGCTGTGAGTCGACACATGGAGTCCAGTCCTCCCAGCAGGTCTTCATCTTTATTGTTGCTCAGTAGTCGTCCATACAAAGGGGGGTGGAGGAGAGCAGTGGAGCCCGACAGGACAAACACCAGGAACGTCATGCTACCAAAGTATTAAATTTGTACAAAAATACTTTACAACATCCCTGTTCCTTTAAAGAAAAATACAGTTTGGTTGGTTGGTGAAGCTACATGGAAACTAATCTGACCCACTATTTCAAATGGCAGTGCAATGCATGTGTGTGTGTGTGTGTGTGTGTGTGTGTGTGTGTGTTGTGTGTGAGTGGACGTCTTGTTGAGGTGAATCACTAGAGTGCAAATCCTTGCTATGTTTTACACACACACACATACACACACATACATGTACAAACGCACACTCTAACACACACACTGTTCATACATGCGCACAAACACAGTGTGTATGGCTTTAGATCTCACTCTTCAAACTCTCCTGAAGCCCCGCCCCTCAGCTCTGTGGCTCGTTCCCATTGGTGGAGCAGTCTGTCTCTGCTAGCAGCTCTAATTACCAATAAAAGTTCAGTTTCTCAAGTTGTAGTTACCAGTATCATGTGCTAACTGAAGACTAGCTTTGCTAGCCCTGTGTTAGCTGTATGCTAAGTGACTACCCGCTGTGTTAGCCCTGTGATAGCTGTTAGCCAAAAACCTGATAGCCCCATTTTGTCTGCGAGCTAAACCAAATAATGGCTTTGTTTACGATGTGTTCGTCCTGTTGTCTTTGTGTTAACTTTATACTAGCCACCTTAGCCCAGTGTGTACACCTAGCTTTGCTAACTAATTGTAAGATCTATGTTAGCAATGCACTAACCATGCTTATCAGATGTTAGCCTTGTCTGTTCATCATTTTCCAAGTCTGTGCTTGCTGTGAACTAGCTAAATGATCAAAGTGTTAGCCTCATGTCAGCAGTATGCTACACAGCCTAGCTGTGTTAGCCCTATGCCAGCACTAAGTTGTGTTAACCAAATATTTTTCTAAAAATTATCGATATTTACCCTATATTAGTCCTAAGTTATCTATATTTTAGGTTTGTGCTAACCATATACTAACCACGTTAGCCCCATGGTAACACATAGCTTGGCTATCAAGATATCAGACCTGAGTTAACAATGTGCTAACCAAATATTTACTATGTGTACCAAGTCTGTGCTTCTGTGTACCAGCTATATTATCCAAGTGTTATACTTGTGTTAGCAGTTTGCTAGACAGCCTAGCTGTGTTAGCCTTGTGTTAACACTAAGCTGCATTAACCAGATGTTTACCAAATCTTAGCTGTGATTACCATATGTTAGTCCTATTTTGTCTTTGTTTTTGAACTGTGTTAACCATGGTAACACCTAGCTATGCTAGCGAGATATCAGATCCATGTTAGCAATGTGCTAGCCAAGTATTTACTATATTTAACAGGTTAACCTTCGCCTAGCTCCAAATCTGTGCTTGCCATGTATTAGCTACACTATCCAAGTGTTAGTCTTGGTTTAGCAGTGTGTTGGACAGGCTAGCGGTATTCGTCTTGTCATAGTTTTTTGATATAAGTGTTAGACTTGCTTTGGCTGTATGCTAATAGCAATGTTTATTAGATATAAGTCCAATGTTACTGCTTTGCCAACCAGATACAGACTATGTTTAGCACGTGTTAGCCCTGAATCGAAGGTGTGTGCATGAACCTGACATTAAAGGTGTTAGCCATGTTCTACAACCCAATTGCGTTTGATCAGGAGTGAATACAAGTTTAGCGACTGTAGCTCTGTGTTAGCCTAGGTGAGTGATGACCATAAACTAATCATGCTAGGTGCTAGCTCTGTGCTAGCCATTTGCTCTGTTTAGCAGATGTTAGTCTTGTGCGAGGTCTGTGCTAAGCACACACTAGCTGTGTTGGCTCTGTGCTAGCCATGTGTTAACATATAATATGTTGGCTGGATGTTAGCCTTGAGTTAGCTGTGCGCTAACCACACATTAGCTGTGCTACCCATGTACTAATCAAACATTTGTTATGTTTACTAGATGGTACACTTATGTTTGATAGGTGGTAAACGTAGCTCCCACTAGCCTTGTGCTATGTGCATAGCCACATGTTATGGTTATGCTAGCCCTGTATTATGTATGTGTTGGCCACATGGTAGCTATGTGCTACCAATGTGCTGGAAATCCAAGACTTCACAGTTACCAACGTTTGAGTAGACCAGCCAATCACAGCTACCACACAGAAACAGAAACAGTCAATCACAACTGCTTCAGTCAGCCAATCACAGCTTCCCTCCAGAGCAGCTGTTGGACTGTTTGCTCTACAAGGTTTCTATTGGTTGTTGTTGCTAAGGGAGGGTTCTGATTGGCCAGTTTAAATAGTGAGTTCAGATTGAGGTGAGAGCAGGAAGATGTTGACATCACTCTAAAATAAACATACACACACACACACACACGCACACACACACGCACACACACACACACACACGCACACACACACACGCACGCACACACACACACACACACACAGGTATTTACTGTCACAGGTTTCCTGATTTAACAGGGTTTTTTTTTTTTGTGTAACATCGTTGTTTTTGTGGTTATGAGGTGACGGTTTTCGGGGTTTCGATGGTTTCGATGTGAACAGCGACGGGACCGAACCGTTTTTTTAATCTATTTTACATCTTTTCAGGTTCAGTCGCCATGGAAACAAACAAACAAACAGAGAGAACTGACAACAGTCAATCAAAAAACACACCGATCGATTAGCATAATAGATCACTGTTACTGGGGCTGGGAGGAGGAGGAGGGGGGGTTGGGTGGGGGCATGCTTAGCTTCTTCCTGGGAGCTGATTGGTTGTGTTGAGCCAATCACTGACAGGCGGGAAAATGTTTGTTTTCTGATTGGTTCCAGCCAATCAGCTGAATCACTCAGAATCTGTCTGTCGTCCCCGCTGCCTTATTGGTTGAGGGAGGAAGAAGGGGGCGTGGCAAAGCCAAGATGAGGAGTTGAGGTGGGTGGGGCTTAACTGGCCTTGTGTTTAAACACACACGTAACATACACACACACACACATACATACACAGTGTGGCCAGTCCAACAGGTGTAAACAGTAGAAAAAGATTCTTATTGAACTGCTCAGTGTCATCATCATCATCATCATCATCATCATCATCATTATTGTCAGCATGATTATTATTACTCTTCCAGTGTGCAGCTCGTTCATGGCACAGAACTAAAATTTCAACAGTAAACCCTTTGTCTTCGTGTCCATTTCGTTAGGGATGCTCCGATCAACATCAGCTGATAATTATTGGAAATTACTTGATTTTGTGACAATAAAATTCATCGGTAAGGAAAAGTAGAAATGTCCTTTACGGCGTGTATTCATCGTGGAGATTATCTCAGGCTTCTAAAGCTTCACAAACATTCGGCAAATCAGTTTTCAGGCTGTTGTACCGCACAACACAACAAAAAGGTAAAAGTTTTAGGATTACCACTGCTGCCGTCACAAGCTCCTGTTGAATGTCTACTTAACTCGACGTGGACTTTTTGCTGTCAGTCCATCAGAGGATTTTGTGTTGAAGCACAACAAACAAAAGCAAAATAACTTGTCTGCAGGTTTTCAAAAGTGGTGGCTACAATTTACTTTAAAAAACAAACAAAAAACGGTGTACTTTTCGTACATTCTGCACTTCCAGACCTACTCTGAGAGTTCTAGGACTTTCTTTCTGACTCTTTGGGATAGGACTATGTTTTGGAACTTCACTGAGACATTGGTTCCTACAGTGGAAACACGAGTAGCTTCCTGCGGTGGAAAGGTCAAGAACGATTGGTTCAGTTCTGTTTGACTCGCCTAAACCTTAACTGTGTTGCTTTCAGGTTCAATTGCTTAAATACGTCTCTAGTATTTCTGCGTCTGTGTATCATCGATGGTTGGTATGTCCAGTAAGGTCTGTATGCAAATTTGGGGTGGTCTCTAAAATAAGACTGTAGCCAAAGCACCAGAACACCTTCCTTATTCTAATGCTTCAGTTTAATAATGTGCACAATAAAAGTCCATCGAGGCAAAGCGTTAGAAGTTATTCTTCTTAGGCAACTAAATGCCTTTATTTTGTCTGCCCATCATGAACAAGGACTCCCGGCAGTGGTACAGTCCACGGTAGGACTCCGAATGTAGGATCTTTGGCATGCCAGTGGGACCAGTCTGAGAAGTTTGGAGTTCTTTACTCATGGACTGTTGATAGTGATATTTTGGGTTTTGTAAATGTGCAGGGTTACCTAGAATATTGGGTATCTAATTAGAGAAGCTGCATCATGGCGCTGCTTTTGACTCTGCTTAAGAACCATTTATAATCTTCGACTCAAACCATTTCCAACTGTGTACTTGGAACTGATCGTTTCAAGACTTGCACGTAACCACGACCATCTTTAATCTCTTGGTCTAAACCCAACCTTCAGGTCCTGTCAAGACACAGCAGCTTCTCACCCAGTTTTATGTGGGACAGCATCAAAGCAGTAGTATCCTAACAGTATCTGAAAAATCTTTTCAATCAACTTTCAAGCATCAGGCATAACCATTTGTTGCAGTTAAACCTCAGGCATACCCCGGCCTTTACTGTCGAATGCTTCATTGGTTGAGGAGTTGTCATTTGTAGTTTTTAAAGTAGATCCATGTTAGCTAATATCCTAACATTTGGACCAGTGATGTCAGCTTGCAGAATACTGAGTAATCCCAATAACATCAGACCTGAACACTGATCGGAACATCCCTAGTCTCCTTGGCAACCTTTCTGTCCATCAGCAGGTTCTGGATTCTGGACTTGAGTCCCATCAGTCTTTGTGCTGCTGTGGTTCATGCCCAGTAGAGCCAGAAGCCATAGTTGTGGTTCTAGACTCCTAGAAGCAGTGGCCATGGCTCTGACAAGACCACAAACAAGACTCATGCCTTGGACCAGTAAGACCACTAGTTGTGACTCTGGCTTCAGTAGAAACAGTAGCCATGTTCCTGCCACCACTAACACCAGTACCCATGTGTCTTGGACCTGTGAGACCATTGGTTTTGGCTCTGGTTTCAGTAGGACCAGTACCCACGGTTCTGTAGCCCTGAGACCATAAACCAAAACCCATGTGTCTTAGACCAAGTAAGACCATTGGCTGTGGCTCTGACTTTGGTGGAACCAGGATCCACGATTCTGTTACTACCAAGATCACTGGCTGCGGCTCTAGCTTGAGTAGGACAAGTAGCCATTGTTCTAAGCTTCTAGAACCAGTAACCATTGATCCCAGAACAGTAAGACCATTGGGTGCGGCTCTGGCTTAAATGGGACCAGAAGGCCATCCTAGGCTTGGAGACCAGTAAAACCATTGGCTGTGGTTGTGGCTTCAGTAGAACCAGTAGCCATGGCTTTCAGCTAGCAGGACCAGTAACTTTGAGTCTTGGACCGGTTAGAACAGTAGCCTCTGCTGTGGTTCCAGTAGGATCAGTAGTTATAATTCTGATTCCAGTGACACCAGTAATACCAGTATGCAGAACTGGTTCAGGTGAAAAGGTGAGGAGTTTCTCCAATATGTCAGTGTGCTTTCAGGCTTTTTAGCAGTTCAAGGGTCAAACTTTAGTGGTCAAAGGTTGAAGTTCATCCAGAGGGTGTGTGTAGCACCATGAACCAGTTTAAACAGCTCAAACCAGTTTGATTCAACTTGGTTGTCCCGTATTTCTTACTGACCACTCCAGTCCAGTCTGGTCAGAACCGGCTGAATCCAGTTTGATCCAGTTTTTGTCTGCTATAAGGAATTATTATTAACCTGCCCCACCCCAAGCCCCGCCCCCAACCCGTCTCCTGGTTGGCTCCATTTCATCGGACCGCCATCTTCTCCCTGGCCAATGGAGAGCTCCACGGGCCCAAGGTCGCTGCCGATTGGCTGAGGGGAGTGGCTGCTGTTGGTGGTGCCGTCGGTGTGATTGGTCAGCACGGAGGAGGAGGAGGGGTTTCGGCTGATGACGAGCTCCAAGCGGTTCGGAGACTCTGCGATGAGAGGGACGACGAGGCAGCAGTCGAAGTCTCTGGTTCGCACGTGGTTAATCTGGAGGACAGAAGACTGTTATTGATCAACCTGCAGACAGATTTATGGAGTGCTTTTGTTTAAACTGTTGAAAACTCGCAAACTAAAAAGGCGACCGACGATTGAAGCTAGATTTACAACTCCTTCTGTTTGTTTTTTAGCAACTGGATATAAAATAAAGGATCCAAAGTGGTGCGAGGACATCTGACAGGTGTGTCTTTTTGTACCTGTAGTATTCGGTCGTAGGCTCGCAGTCCGCCACGCTCCGCCGGCCCTCCCGGTCGGATGTTATTCACGTAGACTCCGCGGTCCAACAAACCATCAGAAACGCTGAACCCAAAATCCTCCAGGTCTGTCGCCTTTTCCAGAGTGAGCTACAAACAGACACACTTAGTTAGCATCGACACATTCATGTGGTCAGTGTGGACCATAGTGTCAGAGGGAGCTCCGGTTACCTTGTGGAGTTCCACAGGGTTCTGGTTCAGGATCTCATTCACTTCCTGCCTCATTTTCCTCATGGCGAAGGCTCGGCGCTGAGGGTCAGAGGGCAGGGTGTTGGACCGAGGCGTCACCTGGGAAAACACCAAAGCACTGAACATACCAACGCAGAGAGGTGACCAGAGCAACCTTAGGGAGCAGTTAGACTTTAAGGTTTGATGTAATACCCCCGACATAATACAACATAATGTAATGTAACGTGATATAATGCATCGGAATGCCATCTAACATAACATAATTGACTACAATGTAATATAATCTATCTTAGTGCACTGTGTACCTGTGGTCTGGAGCTGCTGCGCTCCTGGAAGCTCGCCTGGCGGCCCAGCGTGCTGCGCAGAGGGGTGGGGTCGTGGTTTAGGCTGAGGGTGGAGCCCGACATGATGGTCGCCTGGAGACAGCCAATCAGAGAGCACCAGTCAGAAACATCCAATCAAATCCAACTCAGATGATTAGAAAACACAAAGGTCATGGACCACGACCTTTAACCTCGGCCAGGACAGAACATGTTTCTACTGATGGAATCTTTTGTGACTATCGACAGGTTGTGTTGATGTCTCTGATTTTCTATTTTCTACGATCTGCTGGTGTTTTCGCAGAGAAAAGATCTACTTATGGAATCTACTGTTGTCTCCAATAGATCTGCTGATGGGATCAACGCTTGTCTTCAAGTACAAGATCGACAGTTTCTATATTGAAAAGATTTACCAAGGCATATGTTTACAGGTCTGCTGATGCGATCCATTGTTGTCTCTATGAACAGGATCGAATGTTGTTTGTCTCTATTGACAAGCTCTAGTCATGGGATCTACTGTTGTTTCTACTGACAGGATCTACTGATGGGACCAACTGTTGTGTCCAATCTACAGTTTCTACTTTCAAAGATGTGCCATTGTACATGTT